GAGTGTCTGCGGGTGGGACGGCGGCTCGAGGTGTCTTCCGGGGAGAGCCACGCGCTTCTTCATTCTCGAGTGTGCGTGTGTGCACGCGCGCGTGTGTGTGTGCGTGTGCGCGCGTGAGCGGGGAGACGGAGAGAGAGACTCTCCAGCACGTAGCCTGAGGCGGGACTTGATCTCGTGACCCTGAGATCAGGACCTAAACTGGAGCCAAGAGCCGGGTGCCCAGCCGACTGCACCCCGGAGGGCGTCCTGTGTATTCCTTCTGAAGGACGCCTGGGCCGGGGGAGCGCCTCCTGCTGGCCGCAGGGGTGGGGGCTGTCCCTGTACCGGGGCCTGCAGGGGCACGACGGCTTTGCTCGCTGTAGCCCAAAACCGGGAACAGCACTAACCTTCACGGTCGCCACGGGATAAACGGACTCTGGCGTGTGTGTATAATGACCTGCCGCTCAGGATGGCCCAGCTCAGCCGCCACGCTCGCGACAGCATGGCTGGACCCCAGGCGTTCTGCTGAGCGAAAGCAGCCAGGTCCCAAAGGGTACTTAACGCATGACCCATGTAGACAAAGTCAAGAGCAGAGGAGGTGTTACCGCACCAGGCCAGTGGCACACAAATTCGTCCTGCTCTCTTGGTGCAGGCACCCTGAGCAGCGAGAAGTCACGAGGAATTCGACCTAGAAACCCACAGGTCCTGGCCGAGGCACAGCAAACCTAGCTTGCGGAAAAGCCTCCCACTCTGCCACTGCAGCCGACAGGAGACCAGCAGATGGGCCCTCCCCCGGTCTGACCCCTTTGGCCACCGGAGAGAGGGGAGGACCCAGACGCGGCTTAGAGCGGGAGAAGCTGAGGAAGACACAGCATGTCCCGCATCATGTGGCTGCATGAGAAAGGACCCCAACCTCAGTGCACTGAAGCAACCGTTTCCTCTGCTCCTGCGGGCGGCAGGTCGGGAACTGCAACGGGGGCCAACTCCACGAAGCCCGGCGCTGCAGCCGGAAGATCCGTGCTCTGCGGCGGGAGTCATCGGGGGCCCCGACCTCAGGTCCAGCACGTGGGCTGGGGGCTGGACCCACAGCGGCTCCTCGAGGACCTGTCTCTACACTCACATGGTCTCCCCAGCCGGCAACCCGGGCTGCAGCCCCGGCGTGTCCGCAAGACAAGAGAGAGAGCGGCAGGTGGAACCACTCTTGCCTTTGCCCGGCCCAGCCTTGGAAGTCAGACACGTGGCTTCTGCCGCGTCCCGCGGGGAAAGGTGAGTCCCTAAGGCCAGCCCACAGCAGAGGGAACGGAGTCCGTCTCCAGCTTCAGTGGGGTGAGTGTCACAGAATCTGTGGACGTTTTCAAGCCACCACACAGAAGAGCGCTCCGTCATCGCCACGGCAGGGGAAGAGGGAGGAAAAGACAAGCAGGGCCAACCCAGAAGAAAGCACGAGTCCCAACAACCCCTGTCCAGCCCTTCAGCCTCCAGGACAGCTTGATAAGAGCCTGAACCCAAACGTACCAGTCATTACAACAAACGTAAAAGGACTGCATTTATCAGGACATTGAGAATCTGAGACTGGATTTTGGCAGGAGACTGATACAACTACTGGCTACCCAATGACGCACCAGAGCACAAAAGCACAGTATGGTCAAAATAAAACAGGGCGATGTACGCCGGGCAGCTGCCCACCGAGAATAGATAAATGCTGCTATAGCAATAACTTCAGACCATCTGTAATTAAAGGCAAAGTAAAGAAAACCACCACGAAATAAACAGCTGTAGGAAGGAACAGTGCTTAGCAAAAGAGGGAACCCTGCACAAAGGGTGTTCTTGAAGCTGTTTTGACTGGGATCTGCCGTCCAGAAACCAGAATTGTCACCGTGCTGCTTCTGGCACGGGTGGTGCCCTGGGCGGGGCTCGGGGGGAGCAGCAGGTGCTGCTGGAGGGCTTCGGGGAGGTGCCAACAGTGAGACGCTGCGATGACCTGGCAAAACGTCTTTCTACGTTTGTCCAAATCCACAGGAGCCACAACACCAAGAGTGACCCTACTGCCCGCTTTCCACCGATGGTCTCTCCAGGTCGTCTGCTGAGCAGTGATGCCGCCTGGACCCCCTCATGTCCCCTCTGCCCCTGGAGAGGGCTGTGCCCCTCGTTAACATCCCCGTGACAGCTTTGCCTCCTGACACTTCTTGCCGGTGGCTCCTGGGACCCACGACAAAGCTGCCAGCAGGAGCCTTCAAGCTCAGTGAGCAGACCTGCCCAGGGCAGGCACCCACTGCCCCACAGCTGAGGATATAGGAGTGGACAGCCACTGCCCACCTGGGCTCACAGTGCTCCTGGGGGCAGGGGTCACCACAGAGGGCCCTACCCCTCCCCACACACCTCCCCAAGAATGAGCCCTTGGTATGGGGGGTTGGTTTCCTCCTGAAAGGAGTGGGGAGCTCTCAAAATCTCTTTAGCAAGGACTCCCAGAAAGGGCTGTGGAGCCCCAGATGATGGACGACACAAACAGGTCCCTCAGCCCTACTGCGGACGGTGCCCCACTTCCGCAAAGCCCCCACAGGCCTTCCATCTCCCCCAGGCCTCCTCCCCAGCTGCCCCAGGGGAGGGGGACGCCTCTGCTTCTCGTCCTGGCTGCAGCTCCCAACCAGGGCAGGGAGCCCGAATCACAGCCTGGCTCTGACGGTCTCCTGGCAGGTGGCTCAACCTCCCCCATGTGAAAAGGGCGGGGGGGGGCGCCCTTCCGCTTCGGCACTGCGTTCCCACCTGGGGAGGCCCTCGCAGGTGGGGCCCCGAGACTCCGCTCGTGGGCAGTCCGAGTGCGGCCAGGGGACGAAATAAACCAGACCACGTTTGTAGGCGAGGAAACGTACCCAGTCCGCTGGCCGTGGCCCCCAGTCTAGGGCGTCCTCATACCCCTTGACTCCCGGAACGCTGCTGGGGGGGGTGGGTGTGTGAGGAAGTCCGCCTGGTGCTGATGAGCAAACAGCTCTGGCCTGAGGGACAGAGGATGGGCTTTGGGGCCCTGACCCCTCAGAGCAGGCGGCAGGGTGTGAGCGCCGTGTGCAGGGCACAGCCCCCCGTGAGCCTGCCCCCTCCACAGGCTTTTATCAAAAGACTCAGACAAATTATGAAAAATGTTTTTACTGTAAATCAAAGTACCAAGCAGATACTTGCAAAACAACATACAAAGTAGAACCCAGATGCTTCCCCTCCCCAGGCTGCCCCTGATCCGGTGCCTGGCACCCAGAGAAAAACCCAATCCAGTCCTGCTCCCCAGAAGCCACCCGTGGTCCCGCCCTGAGGCGCCCAGAAAGGGGGGGGGGCGGCAGGGACAGAGCTCCAGGAACCCTTCCCCGCTCAGGGCCCCTCCAGGCACAGGTGTCTGCCCCCAGCCCGGGTGGAAGGAGGGAGGGGCTGCCCTTATTGTTACTTCGGAAGCTGTGGCTTCTGCTTCTATGGCCCTGAGGCGCACCTCCCTCCCACACCCCTGCGGTCTGAGGGCAGGGCAGCGGCTTCAAAGGGGGCCGCAACAACGGCCAAGACCCCGTTTTATCGGCCACGTGATTTCTCCTATGGTCTGAGCTGGTGCAGATGGTGCAGGCCAGGCGGGGCCCACCCCGGGGGTCGCAGGCCCAACAGCATCAGGACTCCGTGAGGTTGAGGACATACACCGGCAAGTAAACATCATGCTGAAACCAGCTGACCCATGACAACAGCAAACAAGTAGGCAACAGAAAGAAAACAGAAAAAGACCACCTCAGTGGCTTGACTTGGGGCGAGGCCCGCTCCGGTAGGTTTGGGGCACCTGAGGGATGGAAGGACGCACAGAGCCCAGTTCCCTTCAAAGCACAGTGGGGTGGCAGCTTGTCCTCGGAGCCCCCTCCCCCTCTCCCCAGAAGGGTGTTCAGCAGGCAACGGAACTGGCAGGTCTAAGGGGACCTGGGACCTGCCTCTCAAGGGCTCAGATGGGCCTTGGGGCCCTGCTGGAGACGGCCCCAGGCCTTCAGGGGACCCTTGCCCACTCTCCCTCCTGCATACAAAATCACACCCGCCGATGGCCCACAAATGGCCCTGCCAGTGAGCATCCCAGCCCCCGCCATGACTGGCCCTGGCACAGGCGCAGATGAAGGCCTCAGGCAGCAGGTGCATCTCCACCTCCAGGCGGGGCCGTGGGGATTTGGGGGGAGGGGGGCGCTAAGGCTGTCACGGTGGCCCATCAACAGGCTGAGCACAGGAGGCACGAGCCCCCGGTGGGGGGGGTAGGAGCACCCTCGGCCCAGGCCATCGTCCTCAGTTCTTGTCTGGTTCCGTCCACACTCCCAGCCCCTGGGGCCGCCCCAGGGGCACACGTACCATCACTCTCCCTGGGCGGCCTGCTGGTGCCACGAGCTCACGGCTGGAGCAGCGGGAACCACCAGCGCACACAGTCCCCCGTGGACCATCCCAACAGCTGCTTGTGGAAAGCACCCTGGAACCCAGAGCGAATTCTGGGAGCCAGGCACTCAGCATTGCTTGGGCTGAAAAGGCTATAAATCTGCCTCTTCCTAGAAGCCTATGAAACAATTCACTTAAAAACACCCCCAGTGCTTGTGCGACAGCCCCCGGGTGGGCCCCTAGAGCCCCTGCCGGGGTGGAGGGAGGTGGGCAGACGGCAAACCCTGCTGCTGGGGCTCTGTGGCCCCCTGCTCAGACGGGTGCCAGGGGGGTTCCCTCCAACCCACCCGGGTGCCCAGGAACCCCAGCCCAGCACCGAGGCCTGTTCGGAGACAGGAGGACAGGGTGCCAGGCCACACTAAACCTACAGAAAACTGTGGGAAGAAACAAAATCCATAGGATCCATGGGTTTCCACACTTGGGGACGGTTCCCAAGACATGTGTTAGTGACACCCCCTCCCCCAGCTGGCTCAGGCCCCCGAGAGGCCCCTTGCACCACGGGGTCTGTGCCCCGCTCCCCGGCTCTGCCTCCTCATCTCTCTACCTGGCTCCTCATCAGGCCCAACGTCTAGACAGTGTCAATAAGCAACAGATGGAAAAATGTATTTCCTAAGAAAGAAGGGGGAGGAAGTACGAGAGCGAGGCTGGCCGCACAGGTCTGTCGTTCGCGATCCCTTTTCCTCGTCTGTTTTGGTGTTTCCTCTCTTTGGTTCAGCCCCACGTCACCCGCGGGGTGCCGGGGCCGCGCTCCTGCCCGGCCACGGCCTGAGGAGAGGCGGCCGACCCTGTGCCCCCGAGGGGCCTCGCCTTCCAACAGTGTCTACTTGTGCTCGTGGCCCTCTGCCATGGCGGCCACCTCGATGGTGGCCGTATGCTCCTCGGGCCCCGAGGCGGCCACGGCGCTCTCGACGGCCCCCGTGGGCACTGTCACGATGGTGCTGCCCCCAGGTGACACCTGGGCCACGTTCTGCAGGGTGGGGCCCAGGCCCGGCAAGGTGAGCAGCTGCAGGGGGCTCACCACCTTGACCACGGTGCTGCCGTCCTGCATGGCGGCCGTGCTCAAGACTGTGAGGCTCGATGCGTCCGGGTGGATCTCCACTGCGCCGGGGAAGGCGGCGCCCGACGAGGCCAGCACCGTGTACCCCCCCAGCAGCGGAGAGGCGGGGGAGCTGGCAGGAGCGGCCTGGGGGGGGCGCCTTGCCCAGCACAGGGGAGGGCAGCGCGGACACCACTTTGCCGAGCGGCACGCCAGCCAGCTGGGACACGGGCACGCCGGGGCTGAGGGCGATCTGGGCAGACTGACTGAGCACCTGTGAGGCGACGGCCGCCGGCCCGGATGTGGCCCGAGCCAGCCGGGGCCGCTTTGTGGGGGGCGGCAGGGACACGGGGGTCAGCGTCATGAGCACGTTGCTGAGGTGCTGGGACTTGTGCTTGAGCTCCTTGGCCCGACGGCGGTGCTCATCACACTGCTGCTCCAGGGCTGCGGGAGACGGGCAGTGGTCACCACGGGGACCGGGGGGTGCAAAGGTCTCCGCAGGGATGGGGGGCAGAGATCACTGCGGGGACGGGGGTGGGCAGAGGTCTCCGCAGGGACCAAGGGAGACAGAGGTCACCACGGGGACTGGGGGAGGCAGAGGTCATTGCGGGGACCAGGGGGGCAGAGGTCTCTGCAGGGATGGGGGGCAGAGGTCACTGAGGGGACCAAGGGAGGCAGAGTTCACCGCAGGGGCCAGGGGTTAGATGCAGGGACGGAGGCAGGGGGCAGAGCATCACTGCGGGAATGAGGGGGACGAGGAGGGAGGACAGCATCACTGCAGGGACAGGGTGACGGGGGGGCACCAAGTACCAGTGCGGACCCGAGGAGGGGACAGAGATCATCAGACCACACCCCCCCTGACACAGGGCCTGTGCTGACAGAGCACTGATGTTCTGTCCCTGTGCCACCCCGTTTCCCACAGGGATACCGTCTGAGGGCCTGTGGGGACCGCCCCTCCGAGGAAGCAGAAATGCCGTCTCCAAGGTGGCCTCCCAGCTGCCAAGCCAGAGGACGGACCTTCCCCATTCCTACTTTCCGCTCCTCCTCACCTCCACAGGGCAAGTGCGGTGGTGATATGCTGAGATAAAAGGGAGGGAGGACCCACACACACAGGGACCGGCTGCACACGCCCAGCGCATCCAGATGCCGAGGGGCCGCCCGGAGAGAAAAGGGGACCGTGGGAGCCACGCCGGCTGCTGGTCCCCTCTCCCACTTTTCTCCTGCACACAGCGGCCGGGGCGGTGCCACACGCAGGCCCCACGTCACGGCTTCCCTGCTTCCCTGCGTGACAGCGCAGAGCTCCCCTGGCCCTCCCCGAGTCCAGATTCTGCCCCAGTGCTCCCTCGGAGCAGCTGCCCACGGGGCTGCGAGCAGGGACGGCCGACTGGGTGCGCAGCCACAGGCAGGCCCCGCCCCAACGCACCTGCCAGGTCCCGGGCGTACTGCTCCCGCGAGCGGTCCATCTGGCATTTGTGGCTCGCCAGCACCTTCTTCACCAGGTCCAGCAGGCCAAAGCTCTGCACGATGTTGTTCAGCAGGACGGCATCTTAAAGGGGCGAGCGCACACTGAGAAGGGCTCCCCCGGACACACGGCCAGAGCCTGGGACGCATGTGGCCCCTGCGTGGCCCTCTCCGGCCACCTCTGCTCAGCCACGGCACAGCTGGGTCCTGCGCCTATGACTCGGCTTCATCCCAGGGGTGCGGCAGGGCGGGACAGAGCACCCCAGCACTCCTGCCCCTGCCCAGAGCAGGAGGGAGCCTGGCGGGTGGTGCCCACCAATGCCAGAAAGGTGCTGAGCCCCTCACCTCGGAGCTGTAGGGGGGGGTCCTGGACCCGCTGCTGCAGGCCTTTCATGGTCTCCATCAGCTCCTGGTGGAACTCCTGTATGACCTCGTCCAGCAGACCCGCGTCCTTGAGCCCTCGCCAGAAGGAGAACGTGTCATCTGTGGGGGGTGGAGAGGCTCAGCGAGCAGGAAGAACCCACAGAACAGGCGCGGTGGGCTTCTTGCCACAGGCAGGGGCAGAGGGCTGCTGGGGGCCCGGGGTCCAGCGCACACAGGTCCAGACGGGGGCCCAGGCACAGCTCCGCCCTCTGCACTGGCATTTCCTCCAGGAGGCCCCTCGGGCCCGCACCCCTCCCAGGGCCACCCGGCACATCCCCCGCCGCCCGCCCGCCCACAAGGAGCCCACTCAGAAGGACCTGTACCTCCAATGGCCGTGGTCCAGTCACTGGGATCCTCACAGGTCTCTATGGTGATGGTAGCGGGAGACCCGTTCACTGCAACCCAGACACGGCCACCATGAGCCTCGACAGCTAGCGAGCAACCCTCCCAACCCAACACCCACTCTCGAGCTCTGAACCTCAACTCTGCACCACCTTCCGCAAGGCCCACAAACACGGGTGCCAGCGCAACCAAAGGATGTACGTGCTTCTGCGGAGCATCCGCTCTTAGACTTAATCACAGGCGTCTTCAAACACACACAGAGGAGAAAGAACTGCGTCTCCGTGGCCCCACTGCCAGCTCGACAATCCCCATCACGCTCCTCTCGCGGCATTTACAAGCTCCCCAGCGCGTGGTGGATGCAAACGGCCACCCGGCCAGGCTCCCTCAGCGAGGAAGGAGGCGGCCGCGCCGGAGCAGAGGCCGGGCCGCACATACCGTCAGCCGTAGCGGGAGTGAGCGGAATGTACTCGGCGGAGGTGGGGCTGCTCAGGGACACACGGGCGCCCGAGAGGTCGATCTTGGTGCTGCGGCAGGTGTTGGAGCAGACCTTGTCGTGCTGGTAGAAGTCCAGCTCCCCAGAGTCCATGATCTTCCTGTGGCAAAAGAGACCCGAGACGGAGAACACATCCAGGCACTGGTGGGCACGGCCGGTGCCCGGGGTGCTTTGCTCCCCTCCCATCACCCCACTCTAGTGTCCTCAGATCCTGCTGACAAGGGAGGGGCTGGCCTGGGGGCAGGTCCCAGGACAGGCAGTGGCTGCAGAGTGGCTACCACTGGGCGGGAGGTGGGCGCCACGGAGGCTGCAGACGGGCCTCTCCGATGACCCCAGCCAGCGCTCTGTGCCAGCGAGGGCCAGGAAGCAGACTTCCTGCTGGCAGCATAAGCAGGAAGTCTGTGAGGACCAGGACCGCAGTGGCTGGCGCCCAGAAGGAGAGACGAAGGTCCTGGCAGGCAGTCATCCCAGAGACGCTGGTCACGGTCACTCACGCCTCCAGGATATTCTGCCGCCGGCTGGCCCTGGGGAGCGGGCCCATGGCTAACAGGAGTGCTGAGGACGCCCCCCCACACTGACTATGAGGCAGAGGGAGACAGAAAACCCTCCCGGAGCAGCTGGGCTCTCTGTGTGCAGGGGAAAAGCAGGACGGTGCTGGCTTCTTGCTCTGCACCCCATTCTCTGCTCTCGCAGGAGGGCGCAGGACGTCCTCTGCCCGCCGGGGACAGGCTTCCCAGGGAGGCCCTTCACTAAGGCCCCTATGGAGGGCCTGGCTTTATGTCTGGACGTGTCAACTCACCCCCCTCCACACGTGGCCTCCATGTCGCGGGGCCTCTGCACAGTGTGCCTGCGCCAGCCTCGGGGCGCACTGCGGACCCACGGTGCCCCTCCCCCGCAGTGCTCGTCCAAGGAAATGGCCTGTGGCCTTCTCACACCTAGGCCACTAAGACCCTTTCCAGAAAGCGAGGGGCCCACCTCATGGGTGGGGCAGAGAGGAGCCCTGAGCCCTGCACGAGGGAGCACAGGGCCAACCGCAGGGCACCAAGCGGCAGGCACGCTCCAGGAGCGCAGGTTTAGCAGGCCGGCTGGGTGTCTGGCTGGGGTGTCCGCCCATGCCACCCCACACCGTGCTTCACAGGGACAGTATCACCAAGGCCCACAAATGCTCCCCAGCAGCAAACCCACACCCAAGGACAGCGCAGAGCTACTTTTCCCGGGAATAAGCACATGGAGGACAAAGGAGAGCCCCCACTTCAGCAGCAAAGTGACCCAGTCTCGCCACGCCAGACACCGTCACAGACGGCAGCCCTCTCTGTCCTGGCACGCAGGAGGGGCTGTGGAGCGAGCCCTGGATGCCAGAGAGAGGTGCCCCTGCCTCATTGGAGGGGGGTGAGCTCTCACCACCAAAGCAGGAACGTGAAAACATGAAGATCAGGAATCGATGTCCTCCATCTTCTCAGAAAGGGCATCACCACTTGTTTCACAGGTGATGGGAAAAGGGGCAGAAGGCCATCGGGGACAGGTCACACACATAGGGAGGCCAGCAGAGCGGACACTGGCCTTCACACCGGCCCATGCAAATGAGAGGCAGGCCCCTTGGGACGCTGGCACATCCATCGGAGACTGAGGCACAAACCCCGATCAACGCTCTTCTGGGATTTGATTGTGAAGGAGCTGGGAGCCAGCCCAGACCTTCCTACAAATTCCCGATTAATCTCAAAGGGAAAAGGAGGTCTGTGAGGAGCAAGGGGACACTGCACTTGGAGCATACCACCACTGACAGCCAGAGACGGGGCGCCGACCCAGCACCCGCTGGCAGCACAACCGGGAGTGTCAGGGACCGGGACTAGACCCTCTGCAAACCCACCCGCCTGAGAGAAGGCCCAGGAGGTGGAGGTGCGGCCACTGGACACAGGCATGGTCTGGACGGGACCGTCACCAGGCGGACAGGCCGTGCCAGAGAGGGACAGGTGGCCAGACGGACACACACTGCAGGTTCAAGACCTGAGCCCGTGCCCATGCACTCCAGGGTTCAGCGGCTGCAGCGTGAGGCGCAGGAGCACTCTCTCCAACACGGGGATGCACAGGGAGGCCGAGCGAGGGCCTCCAAGGCCAGCCCATCTGACGGGGCCACGGCCAGCAGGGCTGTGAGCGGGAGCCGTCCCAAGCAACATCGGCACTTGTGTCTAGGACGGGCCTCATCTTAGAAACTCAAAAGCAAACAGAAGGATGCCCGGTGCAGTCCCCAGACATGCGCGGGCGCTGGCCGCGCGCCAACACCCACCTGAGCATGATTCCGTTCATGCGGATGGCCCTCTTCCAGTCCTTCAGGGTGGACTTGCCGGCCAGGTGCACAAACTCCTTCGGGCTGATGACGTGCTCGTCATACTGTGGAGGGAAGCACAGCAGAATTGGGGCGGGACGGCCCGTGACTCCCCTCTCTTGCCTGACCGCTGGCCAGAGCCCAGCCAGTGAGGGGGGTGTAGGGCGGCCGACAGCTGCGGACTGGCTCTTGGTCTGACATCCCAGGTCCGACCAGCAGCATCGTCAAGGAGGGAAAAGAATAATTCACGTAACACAAGCCATGGCCGCTGTGCCCCAGGGCTGGCTTCCAGCTGCCGGCAGTCTGTGGCCTGTACTGCCCCCGAACCCAGGGAGGGAGCCGAGAGACAGAGATGGTGCCCCGAGCCAGGGGGAGCAGAGGGGACCACACCGCCGTGAAAGGCAGGCTCGCTCCCTCCAGATACGACTCAACAAACCCACTGCCACGTGACTTACTCCGCTAGTAATACACATACATGACGTCACAACAACACGAGACAGCGTGCAGGCTAAGCGGTGACCCAACCCCTTCACCCCACCCTGCCGACACCCCCTCACAGCACACATCTTGGGTACCAATGCACACTGTTTCAGTGTCAGGGCTTGGGGCCCATTTCCCCCAGTGTTGGAGCTCAGATGGCCCGAGAAGCTAAAATATCCTGTTCAGTTGTGTTAAACAAGTAATTACTGGAACTGAAGAATCAAAATGAAACTATTTCCTCAGGAAACAAGCAGGCAGGAGAGAGAGGCGCCTCCCCCCGGGCCCCCGCCGGCTGGGCTCAGGTCCAGCTGGGGTCCTCCAGCGCAGCCTGCCAGGGAGCACAGAGCGCCCGGTCCTCAAATCTCCAGCAGACCCGTGCAAGCAGCCTGGGGACAACCGCTGATGGGAGTCCTTTTCCTAACGTCCTGAGCACCCACACACTCTCTCACTGAGTCTGGGAAGCCTCTCGACCCCTTGTCTAGCCGGTCAGGGAAACAGGCTGTGAGCCCAAGCAGCGGAGGCAGAGCACCTATCTGGCCGCTGCCAGACACCCCCACTTCACCAGACAGGACACTGTCCCTGCCCCTCCTCCAAGGCATGACATGATCTCCCCCTTCCCCTGGGTGTGACATCCTCTCTCCCCCACTCCCTGTAACACCGTTGTGGCTGCGGTCCTTCCACCCCAGCTACAAGCAAGGGATCCATCCCTCCCGAGCCTCATGCTTCACTCCACTGTCCTGTCTACACATGCTGCCACTCCTTTCCTGCCGCCATCTGGGCCAACCACCGCTCATCGAGTTCCAGAGTTTTCTTAGTAGTTGGCACGTCCCACTCCCTTCTCAGGCTGGGTGCTGTGCCTACCTGGGTTGTTGGGGGTCCGGGGCTACGTGACCCCACAGCCAGGGACCACAGGTTTTACCTGGCTAGGAGTCTTCCTAAGACATGTTGTCAGAGCTGTGGGCTCACCCCTACGTTTCCACTTCCTGGACACCTGCACACCTCCTGGACCTAAAAACTCCCATCCAGGGGCGCGTGGGTAGCTCAGTGGGTTAAGCCTCTGCCTTCGGCTCAGGTCATGATCTTAGGGTCCTGGGATCGAGCCCCACATCGGGCTCTCTGCTCAGTGGGGAGCCTGCTTCCTCCTCCCTCTCTCTCTGCCTGCCTCTCTGCCTACTTGTGACCTCTCTCTCTCCATCAAATAAATAAATAAGATCTTTAAAAAAACAAAAAACAAAAAACTCCCATCCAGAATCACTTTCCTTCCGCCTGAAACGCACTTCTTCCCCAAATGCCCTTCAGGGAGGACTTGCTCGTGGCCAATGCAGTTTTGTCTGAAATGTCCGCACGCCCCCTAGATTGGAAAGAGGGCTTCACTGCGTGCAGTCCTCTCTCTCAGCCCAGGACCCCACTCCTTCGTCCTCCGGCCGCTACGGCACTTTCAGGAACCCCGCCACCGGCGGGACCCCTGCTCCTGAGGACCTGTCTGCTCTCAGCCCCGCGAGGCCTTCTCGGCCTCTCGCTGTGTGGTTCCGTTATGACGCCGTCTGCGGTAAACCTGCTTTTGTTTCTCACCCTTAGTTTGCTATTATTTTGAACTTGCAGAATGAGCGGAAGACTAGCACAAAATCCCAGGCTGCCCAGCTGCCTGCCCGGGGCCCTTCTCCCTGCCTCCCTGCTGACTGCTCCGCACGAGAGGACTCAGGCCCTGTCCTCTGCACCCGCGGTCCATTTCCTGAGGGCAAGGCTCTGCCACACAAGCACCACTCTCGAGAGCAGGAATCAGCCCTGACGTGTGCTGTCGCTCAAGAGGCAACAGGCAGCGCTGCTCAGTGGCCCAGTAATAGCCTCTGTGGCAACCTGACTCCAAGGCAGGACCCAGCCCAGACGGCGCAGCACACCTGCTCCCTGAACAGTGCACCCTCGTCTCCCTGACCTTGACACTTCTGAAGCACGCAAGTGAATGTCTTGTTGACCGTCCCTTGCATCTTCTCAGGACAAGAGTCAGGCTATGCCTTTCTGGCAGGAATGCCACGGATTTTCCGCCCATTTGATCAGGAGACCCATGATGGAGGTCTGTCCTGACGCTCATGTCATCACCTGGTTAGGGGCCACCTGCCTGGCTCCCCCTCCAGAGTGCTTTCCCTCTCCATGAGCACCATGTGGGACAGGCACAGAGCCTGCTCCCAAGCAGCTCTCAGCGGCCAGTCCTGGAGTCCAGGCCCCCTCACCCCTGCACGTCTGCTAGCTGGCATTCCAACACGAGAGCTTTACTTCTTGATGCGAACGCCACGGAACACACAGCAGTACACACAGCCCCGTGGCCTCTGACTTCACTTGAGTCGTAACCCAGACTCCGGGCGATGATCGCAGTGTCAAACTGCCCCGGGCGGCGCCGGCCCTTCGAGCTGCCTCCCACGGCTGCTTGACATGAGGCCGGTCCCTCTCCTCATTCGGTCTGGGATTTGCTGCGTGTCTTCAACTGTGCACGGTCATCTTCTCTCCATCATGAACATCCTCTGATCCTTCTTCTCTTCTTCCAGAGCTCAACGGATGTATCAGCCTTTCTCGAGCCTCTCTCCCCTCTTCATTTCTGCGGGTTGTGTTCTGGATAACTTTACTTCTACCTTCCGGTTCACAAACTATCTCCTCGACTGGGTCTGATCTGCGATAAAACCTATCCCTTAAGGTTCTATTTTAATTCTATTTTTCATTCCTAGTTTGTTTTCCTAAATATGTTTATGCTTTTTTCATGTCAGCCCTCTCTTATTTCTTGAGATAAACTAAACATAACGGTTTTATATTCCCTCTCAAAATCCCAAGGCCCGAAGCACTGTGAGTCCTGTGCTGTCTGTGGTCTCTGGGCCGTCCTCTCCCATGTTCAGTGCTTCTGCTTCCTTTACAATGAGCTGCTTCTCCCTTGAAACTGTCTGCCAACATCACTCAAAACCTGTGATGAAGAGGAGTTCCTCCAAAAAGGACGTGTGCTCCGGTCAGATTCCTGGGGGAACGGACAGCCAGGAGCCACCTACAACCAGAACCAACCGTACAGCTCCCCCACGGGTCGTCCTCCAAAGGGTCCCCCATCCCTCAGTGCTCAGATAGGCGGCAGCAGGCTCCCTGTCCACGGGGACAGAGTGGGGTTGGGGCCCCATCGTTAGTGGTCTGCCCTGACGCTGAGGGGACAGACCTCTACAAGTAAGAGCATTCCAGGGGACAACCCCTGCCCTCAAGCACACAGCTCAGGAAGCCCTGGGCTGCACCTTCTGGCCTCCAGCCCTGCAGGGCTGAGCAAGCCGGGGGCAGGCAAAGGCTGTGCAGGCTACAGGTGGTGCCTGGTCTCCCCCACAGCCCACCTTTACTCGGACCCTCAGCTTGACTGTTTCAACCATTTCTGCCGGCTTGCGGAGGCTTCCAGAAAATGTTTTAGGAAAGTATCTTCATCAGCATTTTGGCTACTTTCAGCACAGAGTGAGTCTGGGTACTTAATCTACCTTGGCAGAAAAGAGAGCACCTCTCCCATTCACCTGACTCATGGCTACTCGATGAGTCTTTCCAAAGCACACCCCTCATTCAATCCACCGCCCCAAGCAGCCCCCAGCGTGCTGACTGTGGCTGCCCCCAGCACGATCAGGGTTACTCCCCCAGCCCCTCCCCACGGCCGTGTCCCAGAAACAAGGAACTGGTACCTCCCGAGCCTTCCCCTGGGCCTCAGCAACAACCCCGTCCGTCCCGGAAGACCCACCCCTTTCTCCTCCCCTCTCCCAAGCACATGCGACCCCCGCGTCCCACCCCCACCCCCGGCTGGCCTCCAGGTTGCGCGCCCCGAGGCCCCGCCCCGCAGCAGGCACGCGTCGGGGCTGTGCCCGAGCTGAGCCCCACCTGAACACACTTGACGTTGATACCCGGGCACACAAACTTCCTCCAGATCAGGTTGGCTCTGCTGTCCCCGCAGGTTATGGGGTACACGACCTCAGCCTCCAGGCTCTCCTCTTCAGCCACCTTCACTTCTCACAGGGTGCGGGGGCAGCAAAAGGGTAAAAACAAAACCCGTTACAACCTTCCCAAGTGCTCTCTGCAAAAGCGCGAAAAAACCGCCACCAACCAGAAACCGGAAACCCAGACCCAAGAAGGACTAAGACGGGGCGGGGGCACTACTCAGCAGTCCCAGGTTAGAGGCTCGGGTCAAACCCGAAGATCAACTTTAGGACAGCGGCATTACCATAACCCACATTCAATGGGGGTTCAACGGAAGAACCACTTAAGGAAACAGAATCAAGCTTCACTTGAAATGACGCTAGAGAAGCTCGCGCTTACCAACCTGAGGGGTCCCGAGGCCGTGAGCCACAGTCACACCCTGCTGGTCTGGCCAACGGAGCTTCCGCCCCGCCATGGGGAGAGGCTGAGCTGCCCCTGCAGACTCCAGCCAGGCCCCACCTGGGAGGACCCTGGGGCTTGAGCCCATGGGTGGCCCCTCCTTGCCCGGAAGACCGTCCTGCAGGAGCACGGAGTGGGCAGGCTCCCTACCTAACACGGCCTCCTTGAGCTGCGAGGAGGCTGTGAACGCAGCCGCCGCGGCCGCTGCAGCGTTCTCTGTCTCCATGCTGTCCTCTGCCAGCTCGCCCCTGGGAGGGAGGGAGGGAAGGAGACGTCAGCGCACACAGCATGCCGGGCGCACCCGAGCGCTGGGGCGCCCCCTCTCCCGATGCAGCCCACAGTCCCAGCAGTGGCTGTGCAGGTCAGGGACCTTGCGGGGACAGTCACTGCACTGCTGCTCCCAGCAGGTGTTTCCCTGAGTATCTCCAGTGCCATGGCCCCTGACATGTGCGGCCAGCAGGACACGTTTGTGCAAACAGTGACACCTACGTGGGAACTTTAAATCTCCTCTTTCTTAAGATAGGACTTATTATTTGAGAGAGAGAGAGAGAGAGAGAGAGAGAGAGAAAGGGGACACACATACAAGCATGGCGGAGGGGCAGAGAGAGAGGCAGGTTCCCCACTGAGCAGGGAGCCCGATGTGGGACTTGATCCCAGGACACGGAGATCATGACCTGAGCCGAAGACAGACACTTCACTGACTGAGGCCCCAGGCACCCCCTCTTTCTTTTTTTTTTTTTTTAAAGATTTATTTATCTGACAGAGAGAAATCACAAGCAGGCAGAGAGGCAGGCAGAGAGAGAGGGGAAAGCAGGCTTCCTGCCGAGGAAAGAGCCCAATGTGGGGCTCGATCCCAGGACCCTGAGATCACGACCTGAGCCAAAGGCAGAGGCTCAACCCACTGAGCCACCCTTCTTTAATAAAGTCTTTTTAAATTCTGGGGCACCTGGGTGGCTCAGTCAGTGAAGCCTCTGACTCGATTTCAGCTCAGGTCATGATCTCAGGGTGGGGAGATCGAGCCCAGTGTCAGGCTCTGCACAGAGCGTGGAGCCTGCATGGGGTTCTCTCCTTCCCTCTGTCCCTCTCCCCATCCTGCTCACTTGCTTGCGTGTGCTCTAAAACTTAAAAAATTTAAAAAAATATATAAAGTTTCTTATTTCTATTATAATGATCTCATATTTCTGATAAAACTATCAGAAAATATAAAATGATAGAAAGTGGGAAAAAATCAGCCATGGCCTAACCTCCCATCAAAATAAATTACATATGTAAGTCAAATGTAAATGTAAAAACTAAACCAGAAAAATGTTAAAAGGAGGGAAAAAGAAAACAAATTTAATGGTTTCAAAGTGGTGAAAGGTTTTCTTAAATAAAACAAAACACAGGGCCCCGGGCAGCTCAGTCAAGTTCTACTCTTGGTTTCGGCGCAGGTCATGATCTCGGGGTCATAGGATCGAGCCCACTGTCGGGTCCAGGCTCACCAGGGAGCCCACTTGAAGACCCCTCTCCCTCTCCCTCAGCCCCTCTCCCCCACCGGCCTGTGCATGAGGGTGGCACTCTCTCTCAAAAGATAACACAAAACCCAGAAATAAAAGAGATGACAAATTTCCCTTAAAAAAAAAAAAATAATAAAAATAAGGCTCGCCGCTCCTCCCCGTTTGAGAGAGTCTCATCTTCTGAGGCAGTGCCTGTCCTGTCCCCGAGACACGACCGTGAAGGTCGGAGTCAATGCATTTGGCGGTACCGGATGCCTGGTCACCAGCACTGACTGTAGCTCCGGCAAAGTGAATATTGTCGCCACCAGTGACCTTTCGTTGACCTCGACCACATGGTCTGCGTGCCCTAGTGGGCTCCACTCACAGCAAATTCCGTGGCACAGGAAGGGCCGAATGGGAAACCTGTCGTCAGTGGAAAGTCTGCTCCTTCTTCTAGGAGCGAGATCCCGCGAACATCGGATGGGGTGATGCCACTGCTGAGAATGTTATGGAGTCCACTGGCGTCTCCCCCACCATGGAGAAAGCTAGGGCTTGCTTGAAGGTGGGGCCAAGAAGGTCATCATCTCTGACCCCCCACCCCCACCCCGTTGAAGCCCCCCTGTTTGGGACGGGCACGAACCATGAAAAATACAACGGCTCCCTCAAGACTGCCAGCAAAGCCTCCTGCACCACCAAACACGTGCCCCTCTGCTCAAGGTCACACACGACACAGCTTGAGCACCATGGAGGGACGCGTGGCCACAGTGCATGCCGTCACTGCCCCTCTGGGAAGCTGTGGCGTGAGGGCCGAGCAGCTGCCCAGAACGTCATCCCTTTTTCCGGCACCAGCAAGGCTATAGCCAAGGTCATCCCTGAGCTAGCTGAATGGGAAGCTCACTGGCACGGCCTTCCGTGTCCCCACCGCCAATGTGTCTGCCGTGGATCTGACCAGCCGCCCGCAGAAAGCTGCCAAACACGATGACGTCAAGAAGGTGGTGAGGCAGGCACAGGAGAGCCCCCTCGAGGGCACCCTGAGCTCCACGGAGGACCAGCTTGTCTCCTGCGACTCTAACAGGGACGTCCACTCTCCCACCTCCAATGCCAGGGCCGGCACTGCTCTCAATGACCACTGTCATGCTCCGTTCCCGGTCTGACAGTCGGTCTGACCACAGCTACCGAGTAGTGGACGTGATGGTCCACATGGCCTCCGAGGAGTAAAAGCCCCTGGACCACCAGCGCCAGCAAGAGGAAGAGAGAGGCCCTGAGCTCTGCGGGGTCCTTGCCCCACTCAGCCTCCCGTGCACCGAAACTCTCCCGACCTCCAAACAGTTCCTATCCCAGACTCCCTGAGGAAGGGGAGGGGCTTGGGGAGCCCGACCTCGTCATGTACCATCAATAAAGTATACCGTAGCCAGACAAAAACGAAGAAAATAAAATAATAAAATAAAAATAAGAACTACCCGTATGGGGAGGAACCCCATAAACAATTACTTTAAGAAAGAAAACTGGGGGAAAGGTGTACGGCACAAGGAAGACCGCTTATTTCTAACGTTACCTAAGGAGCCCTGAGATCGACAGGACAGCCCTAAGGAAAACAGACCAAAACCTAGGGCAGAGACAGGACCCACACCCAGCACACTTGAGCTGGAGACAGCTCTGGGCCTGGCAGGCGGGGGGGCAGAAATGCCAGACAGTGTGCACCACTCTGACCTGGACACACACTCGTAGGGACTAACCCAACAGATGACGTATCCCCACCCCTGTAAAGCCCCGTGGGGGAAGCAGGTCTGAGGCCTGGATGGGACGCCGCAGGTGTACCCCCGCCTGGCCACTGAGGGCCACGCAGGCACGCCTCTGTGGGAAGAGGTTTGGTCACACACAAAGGCACGGTCAGGAACGGCTCCCGGGCAGCCGTTCACTCACCCAGCAAACCATGCCAGGCGCGGCTCCTCTCGTGGTCTCTGGCCGGGCCTCTCAGAGCAGGCCAGGTCTGAGGCTCTTCGCACCCAAATCCTCCCATCTCTCCTTCCCCCAACAGGGCCAGACCCTCTCACCCGCGCCCTCCTTCTCTCCTGCACATCTAATGCCACCTGCCCCCTGGAGAGCCGGAACGGACACGGAGCTCAGTGCGGTCCAAGAGCAACACACCTCCACTGGGGCCCTCCCCTGCTTGCTGACAGCCGCTCCTGTGGTCCCCCGCACCACAGACAGTGCCAGGCAAGGCCCACTCTCCAAGTCTCCGAGGCCTCAGTCCACCTCCAGCCGGGTCAGAAGTGAGAGCTGACAAGAAACGCAAACTTGGAGTCTGGTCTTTGGGCCCCACTGGGAGCGACTCCTCCGTGAAGAAGAATCAAGGGAGGGCATCAGCTCTCCAGAGAGGGCACACACGCAAAGGGCAAGTGTCTTTCCCAGCCAGACCTGGGAAGTGGAAAGGACGATGATGAAACAGAGAGCGTGCCCCTCCACACAGGAGAACCAGGCCGACCCTAAGAACAGTGAGTCAGGAGTGGGACACAGGGAGGCGCCAACCCAAGACAGCCACAACCACGGCCCCACCAAGGGGTGTGTGCACATATGCAGCAAGCCCTCCATGGGGACCACCCTGGGGAAACCCAGCCGTGACCCCACTGCGACCAAAGGGTCATCCAGGAAGGCAGACACAGGGGACAGACCGCCTGTGCCTGTGTGCCTGCCCAGCGCTCTGTCTCTGCCCTAGGTCGCGGTCTGTTTTCCTGTCTTGCTGCTTTCAGCAGAAATCAGTTAATTGCATTTGAAAAATGTCCACTTTACTTAAAGCAAGTGTTGGCAGGAGCTGTTGGCTACCTACAAAACGCTTTCTTCTTCCCAGACTTGGCCACGCGTGCCCACCGCCATGGCCATGATGGGAGGCAGGCTCAGCGGACTTTCTCAAGTGAGGAATCTCCCCAGCTCTCCCCGCAACTCCCAGCCAGAACAGAAATCAGCACCCAGGGGCGCCTGGGGGGCTCCGTGGGTTAAGCCTCTGCCTTTGGCTCGGGTTATGATCTCAGGGTCCTGGGATCGAGCCCCGCATCGGGCTCTCTGCTCAGCGGGGAGCTTGCTTCTCCCCCGTCTCTGCCTGCCTCTCTGCCTACTCGTGACCTCGGTCTGTCAAATAAATAAATACTTAAAAAAAAAAAAAAAAAAGAAATCAGCACCCACAAAGCAGTGAAGCGGCTTTTTTTACATACCCTTTTTTTAAACAAACAGCAAGAGCGACTCTCAGCTTCCAACTAGTAGAGTAGTAGGTAAAACTTCTCACAGAACAAGAAGAGAAGTAACTTTAGGCTCTTTAAGATAAAGCTGGCTCCGCTGAAGGCGTGGGGCTCTCCTTCCAGGGAGACGGCACAGGGAGCCTCTCCTTCCTTCTGTTAGCAGCCGGCCGGGCGGCCGTGCTTTGCTGCCCTGGCTCCCGGCTACGAGATGCGGCTCCCATGCCTGCTGCTAGAACCCTCCACCATGAAGCCAGCCAGGAAGCAGTCCTAAGCAAACAGCTTCAGCCGCCCCAGCTGGTGAGGACACACCAGGTCACCGAGCTGCGCCCAGCAGCACAGGCCTACGCTAGAACCACGGCCTGGCCGGCCAGCCTGGCCCCACAAAGCACCAAAATCACAGTGCAGTAGCCCCCTGAGCCTGGGGCCGCTGTGCGGCAAACCCAACGAAGACACCGTCCCACAAGTGGGCTGCTGTCACAAAATCCTGGGAGAGAGCAGCTAAGCAGAAAGAGATGGTAAGCGGGGGTAGGCTGAAGACAGGAGTGGCTGCAGCAGCCTTGGAAAAAGGACCGTGCACCATACGGCGGAGGAAAAACTGGGAAAATGTGAGCCACAGTCACAAAGAGGAAGAGCCCTGAGGGACCTGAGTGCGAAGCTCCTAAGGAAAGTCTCAGGAGGGCAGAAAGCGACAGCCGGCTTCCTGGAGTGCAGACAACGGTGTGTGAGAAAGGGAGACAGTCATCTTGCGGATGCAGAATTTAACGAACACGGGGGTCCAGCTGCTTCACATCTCCAATTTCCCGCCCGGCAAAAGATTTCAAAGTAAGAAATGGCCTCAGGATGAAGACCAAGTCAAGGACCGGCTAGATGGTCCTCTGTTCAAACTGCAGGTTTTCGGGCCAGGCCTAGCCAAAGGGCTCCTGAGAATCGTCGGGCACTGTCCACGGCAGCCAGCCTCCCAAAGCAAGAGAGGGCCCACCTCAAGGAACCCACGATGAACGCAGAGTAGGAGAGTTGAAAACGTGTCAGTGTGGAAAAGTGGAGATCACTGAGCACCAGGGGGCCAAACCAGAACAAAACGCAGCCCTTACAGTGGGGCCCATCTCCTCTGCGGGGCTGCAAGGGAGCGTGCGGCGGTTCTGGGGGGCTGGAAACACCGCTCTCTCTGTGTGCACAGCACTGAACAACAAAAAGGCTGAGAGAAGACAGACTCGTGTGCCTTCGCACGCGAACAGGGCGCCTGGGAGGGCCGCTCCAGAGGGCCAGCTGCAGCCGTCTGGGTGGCAGTAACACAAGCTGCTTTCATTTTTGCTCATCAGTATTTCCCCAGTTTCTGCCACGTATTTTGTTATAATAAATTGTTACTTCCGGGCACCTGGGTGGCTCAGTTGGTTAAGCGACTGCCTTGAGCTTAGGTCATGATCCTGGAGTCCCGGGATCGAGTCCCACATCGGGCTCCCAGCTCCACGAGGAGTCTGCTTCTCCCGCTGACCTTCTCCTCGTTCACACTCTCTCTCACTGTCTCTCTCTCAAAAAATAAAATGTTTTAAAATAATAATAATAATAAATTGTCACTTTCAACTTTTAAGAGCCTGTTGTAAACTTCACAATCACATGGCAAATGTGAGAAGACACGCTCCACACCCAGAGGCTTGGGCATCAGCTGCCTCCGGAAGCAAGGGTGAGGGACAAGCAGGGGAGGACACGGCTGAGGCCGGGAAAGCCCATCCCTGACACTGTGCCAGCCTCGCCCGGCACAACACCCTGGGAGGAGAAAGGGGCCTCCCCCGCCCCCAAGTATGGGGCAGGCCCTGCCCTGAGAGGGGAAGAGAGGGGCACGGAGAGAACCCAAGCGTCCTGGACAATGGGACCCCTCCCGCCCCCAGCCCAGCCCCCTGAACACTGACAGCAGACAGGGGCCCTCCAGGAGAGGGTGGAAGCATGAACTGGGCTGAACTGTGTTTCCCCAAATTCATCTGGTGAGGCCCCGACCCCAACGGGACTCCCCAGTGTGGAGAGAGGGCCTTCAGGAGGTAATTCAGGTTAAATGAGGTCATCAGGACTGCGACCTTATGAGAAGGGCAAGAGAGAGGGAACTCTCTGCCCACCAGGTGAGGGCACGGTGAGGCTGGTCCCAGACTTCCCGGCCGCCAGCTCCGCAAGCAGGTTAAGTGTCTTTGCCGTCAGCCGTCCCGTCTGGGGTACTCTGGTGCGGCAGCAGAGCTGATGAAGACACACGCTGTTGGAGGGGTCCCACAGCCCGAGGAAACCACCCCAGACACGCTTACAATGGCCGCTCCGAATCCTGTCAGCCCACGGCAGCGGCCGTGGCACCGGGTGCCACTCAGAGGACGCCAGTGTGGGGCTGGACACACCCAAGAGTCCCTCCCCGCCCTGCGGGGGGGGGGGGGGTACCGCGAGGCTGGTGTGATCAGGACGCGAGCGGGCCAGCCAGAATGGCTGCTGGGGGCTCCTCACAGCGGCCAGGGCGCCATCGGGAGTGCCAGCTCCAGAGCCGGGAGTTAGTCACAGTCGGTCCCAAACCCGGAGGGAGGCTCAGGCACTGCCCACTGGCGGGGATGGGAGGCTCTGGTGTCATCCTCTGGGAACTCAGGGGCTCGGCAGGAGCCGCGCCCTCCTCCGTCCTGTCCTGCAGGCGGGACAGCACAGCCGCAGAAGAAGCGAGGCAGGAAGCACTTCAGGCCCGAGGAGGAGCGCGGCAGCCGCAAGGGACCCGTGCGGAGGAATGAACACCCAAGCGACCCCTAGGCCAGCAGTGCAGAGGGAGCTGAGCTCGGGGCTGATCTAGCGCCTCCCGCTCAGAAGTTCTATCAGACGGGAAAAGGCAAAAGCTCACCCCCACTGCAGGGACGTGCAGAGGTCAGCGTGAAGGTGCCACACACAGCAAAGACGAGAGCGGCAGGAAGACTGCCCCCCCACCCCCCGCCTAAATCCCTGTAGACAGGAAGCACGAGGGGACGCCAGCGCCCTGCCCAGGGTGACCTGCTCCTTCATGTCAGCCATCCTGCCCCTACGCGGTGGCAGTTCCATCAGGTCCCATGTGGACTTTTTTGCCACCCAATATTCTTTTTATTTTTTATTTTTAAAAATTTTTTGAGAGCGGGGGAAGGGGGGAGAATTTCCACACCCAGGGTGAGCCCGACACAGGGCTCGACGTCCCCAACCTGAGATCAGGGCCTGAGCTGAGGTCAGGAGTCGAACCCTCACCTAGCTGAGCCTCCCTGGCAGCCTTGCCGACGGACGGCCTACGTGCACTTTATTACAAGAGACGAGGGAGAAACAGCTCCCAGCTTCACTTTGGAAAACAGTGCTACTGTCCACCTCATCGAAAGAGAAATCACCACGTGTCTTCAGAAACGAGGACCGCGGGACCACACTGACGGGGAGAAGAGACACAGCACGCGCCTTCTCTCTGCTCCCTGGCCGACGTGACGTTTCTATTGCTCCTTCACACTCTCTACAGACACGGACACTCGAGTCCAGTTTAGAACATTCAAGGAAAATGGGCGCCTGGGGGGCTCAGTTAGTGAAGTGTCGGCCTCCGTCTCAGGTCATGATCCTGGAGTCCCCGGATGGAGCCCCACATCGGGCTCCCTGCTCCACGGGCCGTCTGCTTCTCCCTCTGCCCCTCCCCCTGCTCGTGCATTTTCTCTCAAATAAATAATCTTAAAAAAAAAAAAAAAAAAAGGCACACTCAAGGAAAAGAAACTCCTGACGCCCCCCCCCCCCAGTCCTTACGCGATGCCAGGACCTCCACCAGAGCCCGAGTGGCCCTCCCAGGACGGAGGCCCCGTCTCACCCGTGGGGAGCCAGGTTGGTCGTCACCAGCACAGTCTTCACCTCCTCCACGCTGCTCCCATCCACTGCGCTGTCCGGCGTTGTGACCACCACCACCTCCTCCATGTGGACACTCACATCCGGGGTTGCCATGGCTCAGCTGAAGACGACACTGGAACCAGGACTGTCACTCCGCCAGGGTCCCAAGTCCTACAGGAAATCACAAGGCAGGGCACAGGGTCTCAGGTGGTCTCAGGCTGTGCACAACAGAGCTCTGAGCACCCGTGCCTGGAAGACCCAGCCTTCAGTCCAAGCCCGCTGATTTTTTTAAAACAACGACAAGAGAAGGACTATTCCAGCGCTGGTTCTGGTGAACTTGAAATAATCACAGTCCCCCCATCTTTGCCTTTGTAAGAGCTAAAACCCCTGAACACAACACACGGGGCTGCTGCACGGGGGCCTGAAAACTCAGTGGTCACACAGCAGGGGACAGGACAGGAGACCAGGATCCAAACAGACTCCTCTGCAGGTAGGTCCCCTGGTGTCACTTCAGGAATTCTGCATTCCAGAACTGTGCGCAGTAAGCATCTGGGGACAAGTCCAGGCTCTGGTTTACAGAAATGGAAGGGAAACCCACACATGACGAAAGAGGGGGAAATGCCCTGCTTTTGTTATTACCTTTTTTTTTTTTTACTGGCTCTGCCTTCTAGCAAGCCCTGGTCCCTGCTAAAACCCTGTGATGGTAGTGGCCCAGCTGTCACCAAAAACTGAGGGACTAGAGGCATATAGCGGGACTGGGAGTCCCACTGCTTTCCGTGCTAACGCTCGCCCAAGGGAGACCCAATGCGGGGGTGTCACAGCACAGAGGACACACCAAAGCCACAGGTTTCTAAACAGAGGATGGGGACCCTGGGCCCAGAGAGTATGTGGGAGACTGTGCAGAGGAAGGAGGTATGGAAGGGGTGCCTGGGTCACCCCACAACCATCTGCGTGGGGGTCTGACCCTAAACGGCAAACCAAAGGTTTGGAGAACTAACCCTACAGGTCAGTTTCAAAGAGCACCACGGCGGCTCTAGAGACGGAGCTCATGTCAGGACCGTGCCCACAGGAGGAGCTCAAAGCTTCAGCCTGAACCTAACCCGGCTGCCTTCCCGCTCCAACAGAAATGTCTACGTTCTGAGATTTAAAGAAGACCCAGAGCCTCACAACACGATACTCAAAGCATCCAGAAGACAATCCAAAATCTTTAGACATAAAAAGCAGGAAAGTCTGGCTAGTTCTCAAGAGAAAAAATTATCAAGAAAAGCCCACTCTGAAACGAATCGTCAGAGACCTGAAAGCAGCTGGTGTACCAGGCTTCAGGGAGGAAGACAGACACTCTTGAAACAAGTGGAAAGATAAAATGTCTCAACACAGGGACAAGACTTATAGCCAAACGGAGATCTGAGAATGAAACAGAAAAAGTTACAGTGCGCCTGGGCAGCTCAGCGGGTTAAGCCTCTGCCTTCGGCTCAGGTCGTGATCTCGGGGTCCTGGGATCGAGCCCTGCATTGGGCTCTCTGCTCGGGAGGGAGCCTGCTTCCCCCTCTCTCTCTCTGCCTATTTGTGATCTCTGTCTCTGTCAAATAAGTAAATACAATCTTAAATAAAGAAAAAGAAAAAGTTGTAACAGAAATAAAAAACTTTCTGGACGGGCTCCCTATCCGAGTGGAGATGGGAGAAGGCGGCGGTACAGTAAGGAAATGGACGGTCAGCACAAATTATCCACGCCGAACAACAGAAAAACGGGGCAAAACCAAAATGAAGAGAGCTTAGGGAATGTAGAAAAATGTAAAAATTGGACATTGTATCACTTGAGTCCCGGAAGCAAAGAAGTGTGAAGCTGAAAACACTTTTTTGGAAGAAATCATAGCTGACCGCTTCCCAAGTTTAGTGAAAGGTTAAAACTTACAGACCCAAGAAGTGCAGCAAACCTCAGACAGAACCACCTTGAAAACCCCATGCCCAGATCATGACTAAACCGCTGAAAACCAGAGACAAAAGGAAAAGCATTTTGAAAGCAGCTAGCCAAACGGAACCAACCACGGGCTGGAGAACCCCCTCCACAGGGCCCAGAGCCAGGCCAGAGAGCGGCGGGCCGGAGGCAGGGACGGCGGGTTCGTGCTGAAGGGGAGAGCTGCCCGCCCAGCGTTCTACAGGCCTGAGCAGTCCCTACAGGAATAAAGGCAGAACAAAGACATTTTCAGGTGAAGGAAAAGTCAAAGGACTGGTCACAGGGAGACCTGCTCCAAAGGGGTATTATTCTGACAGAGAGGAGAGGACCGCAGGAGACCTGTGACCTCAGGGACGAACCAAGAGCAGCCACAGTGGTGAGTATCTGTGTAAATGCACACGAAACCGTTTTCCTCTTACGTCTTTACACAACAGGCTGCAAGCCACAGTCCTACTAATCTATCTGGTAGAGTTTCCAAGGCAGACAGACCAGCCACGTCCGCCCGGAGTCGGGCCGGTGCGGGGGGGCCCTGGGGCCGCTTCCCTGCCCCACCCCAACTGTGGAGGGATGCTCTGAGCCCACTGGAAAGGACCGAGTCCTTCAAAGTTTCCACACGATGGAATACCGTTCAGGGACAAAAATAAATGGGCTCTAAAGACTGAAAAAGACATGCAGGAACCTTAACCGCAGCTTGCTAAGTGGATGCCGCCCATCTGCGAGGCCGACTGTGGGCCCGGGGAGAAGAGGACTGGTCACCAGAGGCCAGAGGGGGAGCGGCATGAAGGGGCACAGGGGGCTTTAGGACGGTGATAGGACACTGGAGGCTGCGGCAATGGTGGCTATTTGACACCATACATTTGTCAAAACCCCACAGAACGTAAACCACAGACGTATGGTTGCTGTGACATGTGTAGGCTCGTCCTTGTCAGATGTGCACTGTCGTGGCAGGGAGATGCTGATGGCGGGAGAGACCACGTCCTGGGCCACACGGTCCCTGAGGCAGGACCTCCAGGGATCTGACAACTGTCTTCAGCCGCCTTTAACCAGAAAAGCTGCAACAATGAATTCACGGGACATGCACAGATTTCCTGCCCATTTCTAAAATATAGCTTTCGTGTTCTAAGTCTAAGCTTTGTTGAAACCAAGCCCTTTAAACAAACATGCATAAAAGTCTGCTTCAAAATGACAATTAAGGGGCGCCTGGCCAGCTCCACCGGTGGAGCACACAACTCTCCATCTTAGGATTTTGAGTTTGAGCCCCACAGAGAGTATGGAAAGCAGTTAAAAAATATACTCTTTTAAATAAGTAAAATTGTGGGGTTGCCTGGGTGGCTCAGTGGGTTAAAGCCTCTGCCTTCGGCTCAAGTCACAATCCCAGAGTCCTGGGATCGAGCCCCGCATCGGGCTCTCTGCTCGGCGGGGAGCCTGCTTCCCTTCCTCTCCTGTCTCTCTGCCTGCTTGTGATCTCTTTCAAATAAATAAATAAAATCTTAAAAAAAGAAGAAAAAAAAAGTAAAATTGTGCTTGAAATAACACCGAGCTTTGGTGCTGACTTCTCCAGGTTTGGCCTCCTCACCAGGAAGGGACCTCTACTTTCAGTGGGTGGGCCCCACTCAACAGGGCCGCATCACACTTCAACCAGACGCGGCCCAAGCAGGGAGGCCCCCTACCAGCGGCTGTAGTCCCCCCAAATTTCAAAGCTTTGCGGAGCACAAATCTGAGTTCCGGCCTCTGCAATGCCAACCGTGCTAAGTTTCACAACACACCCCGAAGTTACCGCACAGAATAGTTTGGTCCCTGGCATGAGGACATACAGAACACGCCCCACAGCGAGCACTCCTCGTCCCCCTGCCGCCAGAACCGCACTCCCCAGAGGGCCAGGGAGATCTTTGTGGACCCCGGCTTGGGGCCGACAGACACAGAAGCCCCGGTCTCCACCCAGAACTTGCGTTCCTGACCAGTGTCAATCAAGCCCCAAGTAATCTTAAGGTAAATAAAATATTGGTATTTTTAAAACATCATTCTTGAGCACAGATGTGGGAAACAGGACAATGATGCTGGTGGTCAGCACTGGATTCAGACCTGGCTTTCCAAGCCTCCTGCAAGATCGCGCATGTCTCCTTCGATAAAAACGCGGCTAAGAACACAGCCGTCGCCGCTCGCAGTGGCCCACGGGCACCATTTCTTGGATCCTCTCAGGATTTCGGAACTTTTTAATCGTTGCCAACTGCGTCAAAGTTCACAGGATTCACATAAAAAAGGTCCAGATTCCCAGCTTCTCTTGCCGCCTGAGGAGACCCCACCAGTCCTTCCTGCGTCGGGGGGACAGTCTGGGCTGCAGCTGCCCTCCCGGGCCCAGCCGCCAGCCCTCGGCCTCGGGCTCAGAGAGCGCAGGCCAGTGGCCTCCGTTCTCAGCCCGGGCCTGAAACGGACTATGATGTCGAGCCTCGGATCTGAACGCGGTTTACAAGCTCGGACTCACGCCAACACCTCCCGCGGGGGTTCGCATCCCTGAGTCCCTCGCCCTCCCAGGGGCCCCCGCATTCAGAGCCGCCTGCGAAGCACCGACTCTGCCCGGGGTGCGCCGCCAGGGGCACAGACGCCGCGGCGGCTCGCTCGCAGGCCTCAAGTGCAAGCGCCACTCGACGCAGCGCGCACGCCCGGAGCAGCCAGCCTCGGCGTCCCCAGCCTCGGCGTCCCCAGGCGAGCTCCGCGCTCCCGTGGGCGGCCGCGCCATGGAAACCGCCGCACGCGCGCAGGAGGGCCCAGGAGCACATGGCAGTGGCCGACGGACCAGCGCCTGGGGACAGCGTGCTCGGGGGACAGGCCGCACACGGGGCAGACGCTAACGGACTCCGCTCGGACGAGGCCTCTAGGCACGGCCCGGGGAGCGGGAAGGCCCGGGGAGCGGGAAGCCCCGCACAGCACCTCTGGCTGCCAACGCCGGCATCCGCCCTACAAGGCGCTGGAAGGTGCAGGCCTTCGGGCTCCACGCTGCCCTCCCAAGAGCCGAGGGCGGAGCGGCCGAGCGGAAAGACGCCCCGCGCGGTCCCCGCCGCACACTCGCCCACGCGTGCACTTGGAAAGCGGCGGCGGGGGCTCTGCTTCCGAGGGAAGTCCGCCAAGCCGACCGAGCAGCCGACCTCCCTAGCAGGCCGGGGCCCGGGGGCCCGCCTACGCAGTCCTGCCAACACGGCTGCATCCGCGGGCCTCCCGAAGAGGCCTGCTCGGGGCTCTCACGGGCGCGGGGGAGTGGGCCGCGTGGACGGGGCTCCCACGGGCGGGCGGAGAGCGGGATCCGCGTGGACGGGGCTCCCACGGGCGGGGTGCGAGGGGGCCGCGTGGACGGGGCTCCCACGGGCGGGGGGAGGGGGCCGCGTGGGCGGGGGGAGAGCGGGGGCGTCCACACGGTCCCCACACGGCCGCGGTCCGCGAGTAGCCCAAGGGCCATCCCCACCGCCCCCAGCCGCGCGCCCTCCGCCGCCTTCCGGCAAAATGGAGGCGGACGCCGCCGCCGACGCCGCCTGACGCGGGCCCGTGACGCCCGTGACGCCCGTGACGCCCGCCGCGCGCCGCCGCCCCTCCCCCGCTCCCCTCCCCCCGCCGTAACGTCCTGACGCTCCGCAGGGACCCCTGACTGGACGGCG